AATCAAAAAATACATTTATTTTAGAAATGTTTATATTACAAGTAAAAAGAGAAAAACTATGAACTAGTTTCATTATATGAAAAATTTTTACTTTGAATCTTTGACTATTTTATCCTTTCGGGTTTCTAACTCATAAAACTTTAATCTATATAGTTGTAGAAACATTGATCCACAAGATGCATTTTGAAGTTTTCCGGCAGCATTTTCATTCGATTTTCGCGAAGAAAAGCCTTGAATATACTAAATGTGTGCTCGACGTAAGTTGATACAAGCGGCGCCCAATTTAACTAAGGAACGTTTGAAATGTTCATATTATCAGGAATAAGGGCGTTTTCCTCGCCCTTTATAATTTTATCCACACCCCTTATTGTCACCAAGCCTTTGTTAGCTGAGAAAATGGCTTTGATTTTTTCCAACTCCAATTTGGCAATGCGCTTCTATAAGCCGCATGGGCAATGTGTATATTATTTAATCTTTGAAAAAAAATTTTAAATGCTATAATCACTTTTTTAAAGGTAGAAAAGGCAAAAAAAGGCAAATATCTTAAAAAAGGCAAAAAAAAGGCAAATATCTTAAAAAAGGCAACATCAAATGTGTATATATGGAATCAGGGAGAGCTAAATCGTGGACATTCTTAATCGAATTTACTCTATCTCTTTAGCAGAAAAAACGGCAATTTCCATAAAATCCGTTCCCTGGTTATCACAAACATGCGCTTAAAAATTGCTTTAATTTTTTTTCTTTATGCTTCGTCTTCATATTCTTTGTTTACTTTTGGTTAGTTTCAATAAAATAATATGGCGCCGAAATTACAAATGTCATCCAGAAAATTACTTTTTCTTTTGCTACATCTTGTCAGATCTTGTGTATTTGGATCATTGTTCAACTCTATATTCAGATATACCATTTGTTTTTTATACTGTGTCTGAGTCGAATGTAATAAAGTGTATTTACCTAATTAAGTCTAACGCAGTTGGGGAGGACGACATACCTCTTCGCTTTATTAAACTGGCCCTGTCGTAGATTATTGGTCCTTTGACTCACATAATTAATCACTGCGTTACTACATCCTGTTTTCCTATCCTGTGGAAAGTCGCTTCCGTCCGTCCCATTGCCAAATGCAAACATGCTTGGTTCCCACATGACTTCCGACCTATATGTGTTCTTCCTACCCTATCCAAAGTATTTGGGTCGATAAAGTATGAGCAGATTTCCTCACACCTATCAGATAAGAACTTCTTATCTTCATTTCAGTCAAGATTTAGAGCAGGGCATGTGTGTTCAACAGCTATGGTAAACATTCTTGATGATCTTAGAATTAACTTTGACAAAGGTGAATTGTCACTCTTATGCTTGCTTGACTTTACTAAGGCATTTGACTCAGTTGCCCATTCACTGCTTTGCTCATAACTCAAATATTACTTCGGGTTTGGGGAATCAGCATTAACACTCATGAAGAGCTTCCTAATGGGCCGGTATCAACGAGTGAAAGCCGACAGTATCGCACGCTAAGCCTTTGATGCGGGGCGTTCCACAAGAGTCCTTTGTTATTTAGTGTACAGTAAAACCCGCTTAACCCATTAGAAGTCACCGTACTCAATTGAGTACAGTCATATCTCTAAGTGTGGATTATAGTTTTCAAATAATTTTTGGTAGTGTTCTAGTTTTTTTATATTACCATTATACTGTTCAAAGCTATAAATATGAAGTTCGTGGCTATTGCGATTTTTTACATCAAAACATCAGTTGAAGTTGTGCAGCGTGAGAACTGCGCATGTATGTAAATTATTTTTGAAATATGATAATAATTACTGCATAATCATGTATTTTCACATTCAATTGCTAAATAAAATATGTCAATTTAAGTTATAAACTATATTATAATCAAATAGTTATAATAACAACAAAACTGTATCCATATATATCTTGCTGTACTCGGTTCAGTACAGTGAAAACTTACGTAAGTAAAATAACTGTTTTTGTCTTCATATTTGCGATAGTGACGATGGTGATGATGAAGTTCAAAGGGTTATCATACCACCTGATCCAAGTGAATTGACCGATGAAGAAGAAGGCGCCGAGGAAGATATGGTGCTATCATCTCTACCGCATGACGTGCCTGGTACTATTGAGATATTTACGAATCGCAAGGATGGTGATTATGAAGATAGTAGTAGCGATGATTGTGACGATGAACCGCTGGCAAAAAGAAGGCGACTAGATATTATTCGCCGGCCAATCCCAACCTGGCGCAAATGTCCCCCTTCATACACCTTACTTTCTCAGCGTACTTCCGAAGTCGAAGTTAAGGCAAATGCTATTCGTGAATAACTAAAACCTTAGCCCTGTACAAATATTTGAAAAACTTTTTGATGAAGATATTGTTGATATCATTATATCAAATAGTCTACTTTATTCAAATCAAAACAACAGACATGATTTTCAACTAGACTCATCTGATTTGAAAAAGTTTTTAGGAGTATTGATATTATCTGGATATCATATGCTACCTCGAGAATATAATAAGTAGCAAGTACACTCTAGAAAGAGCATGTAAAACTACTACTGAAAAGTATCTATTTTTCAACAAGAATCTGTATAAGTATACGTATAGGATGTTCAGTATTTGATTTTGAACTTGAGATCTTTAAAATATACACATAAATACACATATATAGAATGTTTAAAATTGTTTGTTGTTTTAAAATTTTCAAACTACAAATACATTTGAGTAGTCTACTTGCAAAGTGCGCTATGTAAAATTTTTTCGATTCTTAGTTTTTGGCGGACTACGTACCAGTATTTAAAGTAGTTTCATGTCCACTAACAACAGAGTGCAAAATCTTTTTATATTCTGAAAAAAATAGCATCAAATGTTAAGTCTTCTTCCAAAAGTCGCTATCATACTTATTTATGAACTTTCAAAAGTATCAATCTTCTGATGAACTTAGAAAGCTGCTTTAGGTCGTATGGACTGTTAATGTTATCTTATGACATGTTATGTTATGTTACAATTTTATAAGGCTCCTATTTATCCAAATTTTCAGGTAATAATAAAAAAGATTAAATTTAAATGTTACTTGTTGTCGTAGTCGCTTTTTCAAATTTATGGATTTCTATTATAAAATCACATAACGCTGTTTGCAAGTGGACTACTAATTTCCTACTAATAATAAACATTACTTTATTTTAAACATGTTATGTGTAATTTTGCTCTTGCGACAAATTTGGTATGTAAGAGTAAACAGGCAATGATTAATTTTATTACACGGCGTGCGAATTTGCACACATTAAAAGAGGAAACTGGTTACCTCTCTTAATATGCGCAAATAAACATTAATTTTTTAGAGTGTATTTAAAATCTTTTCAGTAAAATTCGTAAAAGTCTCCTTAAATAAATCAAAGTTAGTTTTTTAAACTACATTGAAACCTTCTTTCTTTTTAAATTAACAAATGAAAATATGTGATATGAAAGAGATTACTACAGAAAGAGTATAATTTACTTTATATATATCGTCGTTTAAAGTACAAAACCGCGTATCGTCATTCTGCAAAACCGCGTAACTGACATTTGCTGCCAAAAATTGGATTTGCTCACACAAGCTCTTGGCTCAATCCTTATCCATTCGTCCTGAAATTTACTAGCCAGAAACGCGATTGCTTTACAACAAAGAGAACCTTTTTGAAATATAAGTGTTTTTACTCTCTAGAAAATAATTTATGCAACGTCACATACGCGGTTTGCTTTTTGTTGATACGCGGTTTGTACTTTAAACGACGATATGTATATTAAGATCTTGCTTAAAGCATCCTTTAAGCGACTTATACCTATTTTGGTGAGATCATTGCTTCGTTCACAAAAAAATAAAATGCTTTAATTTTACGCTTAAGTAGCGATTCTTTATACGTTCAGAAAACGTAATGCTTTCTACCATCTTTAATGAAAATCGATTTTTGAACGAAAAAAACTTTATAGGAAATATAAAATTTTGGCCTATTTAAAAAAGTATCCACATTTATACTGACCGGAAAAAATAAGTATCCCGCAAAAATTCGTCTAAAAATGTATCCAATTGGATCTATTTAGATCCAAACGGCATCCCTGCTTATGACTAGAGTCCGACCGATTAATCGGCATCGGCATCGGCTAGTATCGGCACAAAATTGAGCATCGGCATCGGCATCGGCCTTTTTTCGCCGATTCTTTGCCGATTCTTTGGAATTTCTTTTCAAATGTTCAGGTGAAGCGACAGCCAACTTTAAAAAACATTTGCAGACAGCTCACAAAAATTATTATTTTTTTGTTGAAGGTGTTTCACGTTTTTTCCATACAAAAGTATGTGCGACAATTTTCTTTTATATGGAAAATGCCAAAACTTAACGGGGTTTTATATCAGCTTGAAATTTGCACTTCATTATACTATAATGAAATGGTCTACAAAACTGCATACCAAAATTCTGATTAAAAAGTTTGAAATTTTGGTGAAAATAAACAGAATTTTTTTTATTTTTGTACCAAGTTTGAATTTATATGGTGTTTGTTGTATACCAGCTAGACTTTTATAAAAAAAAATAATAAACATTAAATAAAAAAGACAAAATCTGTCAAAATATCGCAATTCTATTATTTTAATTAATTCAATTATTTCTTTTCTTTTGTTTTTTTTTTACTCCGTGAAATGAACTGATTTTATGAATTAATACATTTATTTGTAATTTTTTATGGAATCGGCATCGGCCGATTCTTTCCCCATAAGCCGATTAATCGACATCGGCATCGGTACCTGAAAAAAATTGGAATCGGTCGGACTCTACTTATGACTACAGCTTTGACAAGGAAAGAGAACTGCTACTGGTAAGGTGGAAAGACAATAGTGTATGTACACTGGCGACCAACTACGATACCATTGAACCATTAGGGACTGTCAAGCGATGGTGTCCAGTGAAGCGGCAAAATACCGACGTGCCGATACCACGATTGTTCCAAAATTACAACAAAAACATGGGTGGAGTAGATGAACTGGATCAGTCCATCGCGCTATATAAAATCGCTATTCATGGTAAAAAGTGGTGGTGGATGTTATTTACATACATGTTGGACATGATCATTGCTAATTCCTGGCGTTTACATGTGATGAGTAATGATGCACCCATGGATCAACTCATGTTCCGACGTCATATCGCACGATATTATCTACGCCAAGGTGTTCAAAAAAATCGCGCCATTCTGCGTCGGTGGTTCCAGGCCTACCTCAAGATGGAATTGGACGCTATCCCACTTAAATTGAAATACAGTTGCGGTGTGTCCTTTGTCATTCAAGAGTGCGCTGGCAATGTAAGAAGTGCCTAAAAACACTTTGTGTCGAGAAAGTATGTTTCGAAAATTTTCATACTTAGGCGGTCAGTGTACTCATTTGAGTACACCCCTGTAATCTCCCGGAAACTATGTTTTTATTATTTTTTCTTTGATTTTATGTTCCTTTGTGCTATTTTCAATTCATAAATAAAGATGGGTCCAAAAATATGTTTGTACTTTTCATTTGACCTCTAATGGGTTAAGTACATCACGAAAAAGTGACCTTTTTGAGGTACTTAGTCGGGCTGGGTACTTAAAAGAACCCGCTTAAGTACCTCGATGCGGGTACTTAAGCGAACATAATTATTGATATAGTTACATTTTCTGCTTGACTTATATAAATAAATCCTCGAATAAAACCTGAACATTTAATGAAGTATACGTAGTTTAAAACCAAGATCGTAGCATTATTTAAACACATAAACAAAAACTTAAAAAAAAAAATTGATACAGCAATGTTATGTCATTTTTACAAGAATTCAACTCTTTAAAGTCATTGATTATACATATTTATACATACATACAGTGTTGGACATACATATCTATCATTTCGGACCAAATCCAAAATTATGTTGTTTGCCACTTATGTTTATTTTTTAATTTTTAAGATTCTCCAATTAAAACACAGTTCATTCCTTACAAATACTATATAGAAGGTTGTTTGCAGCTCCCAAGAAAAACGAAAAATTCATATAAAATAACGCACAAAAAATGGAAAAGAAATTTTCTACTATCAGAATTTTTTAACCAGTTTGCTGCACTCAAGAAAAAAAGTTTAGGATATTTATTTCTAGAAGAAAATTTACAGCAAAAGCTTAGAATCCAGCTTTTGAGAAAAATCATATGAAATATTTTTCAATATTTCTGTTGTTTTAAAAAACATTTTGCCTTTGTTGTAAATTTTCTTGAAGAAATAAGTTACGAGCCTCTTTCTTGTAAATTCCTTTTCTATTTCTTGTGCGTAATTTTTCGTTAAGCGGGTTTCACTGTATTTATAAATGTTATTTTTCGGACCTGTAATAGGTATGCCAGCATGCATGCATATGCTGATGGCATTCAACTTTTTCTTCCGGCCGCTACGAAAATAAGGATGTTATTGCCATAAATTTAAACAAAGGCTTTGATTCTGTTTTACGTTGGCCTTTTAAGAACGGACTTTGTCTCAATCCCTCCAAGTCTTATGTCTTACCAGTCTACAAGAATAAACTTAATATCGACACTATCCCTTCGCTATATTTAAATATTCAACCCTTAAAGCGGTAACCAGCTTACTTGGGGTTTTTTTTTATCAACTCTAACCTTAGCTATTGTGATCACATTAAATCTGTAGTGAGCAACGTATATGGGATACTTAGATATCTGAGGCTTTCTGCATCCTTTATTCCAGTTGCCACTAGATGGATGGATGGACGTAAAATAACGTACTCAGTTGGTATATTGCAAACTTGATTCCGCCTCTGCCCATAAGATTGACATTTTATTTAATCTTGTAACTCGGTACGTATTTGGTATTCGTAAATTTGACCATATATATGCCTGGATGTCTTCCTTGCTGCGATGTGAAATCTCCGACTACATAAAGGCCAGAAACGGCATTTTCCTTTTCCGACTTATGAATACGAAGATATCTAATTATTTAGATTTAAAACTTATCTTTCCTAATTCGGAGCGATCGTACGACTTAATCTTACCTTTATATAATTTTAACAATTTCACAAGACTGTTCATTAACGCTGGAACTCCATTCCAATTAATGTTAAAAGCAAACTTAACAAGATCAACTTTAACGCTATTTAGTATACCAACTTCTCTTAAAATTGATGAACCAATCTGAATTTGTAATATTTATTTAGATTATAATTATAGTCCATTTCTATATCGGTGACACAAATTTTTTTACTCACAAGTAAACTTTTTCATATATTCTTAAATCATAAAACCTGTGATAAGAATTTGTCACTAATAGATTTAATGTTCTATTGTTGTATTTTGTAATTTGTATGAACCTGTTGTACTAAAAAAGACTAAGGGCCAATTTCAAATGAATATTTAAACGGCACTTAAGTTTAATTGTGTGTTGTTGTTTAAATGCCATTTAACTTTCGTTGGGTTTCATATCAATTTTATTTAAATATGCCAAACAAGTGGCAACACTGTTGCTTGCTTATTGAAATTGTCAAGATTGATAAAATAACCCACCAATCAATCTTGGTTGTTTGGTAAAAACACAGGGTTGCATATCTCATATTTAAATAGCTAATATTGGCCATTTAAGTGCAGTTTAAATGTATGATCTGAAAATGAATTGTGAAGTTAATCAACAATTTCTACTTAAGTAAGCCATCTGAAATTGGGCCTAAATCTTATTATACTAACGTTTTTTGAAATAAATGAAAATAAAATTGAATAAAAGGTAAGGAATAAGTAAGTACGAGCAATGTAAGGCCCAGTTTTGTCGTCAAAAGTAAGGATTTTACAGTCTAACAGTTGCTTAATTTAAAAACTATTATTTACCTACACAATCTTTCAGGCTTTCAACATATACTCCTATAATAGTTAGCTGCCCTTCCGCAATTTTTTTGTATGCATTTCATAAAATACCAAAGTATGTTATCCATAATGTGCGTGTTGATCTTGTTATGCCAATGACCGGACCTAAAGTTCTAAGTCGCCTCCGAACGGCAGACGGTTTTTATGAGAAGCGATTTCATGGCAGAAGTTCAATCAGAGGTTTGAAAATGCGACGACCGCGGGTCAGAAGTTGCGTAGAGCAACATTTGCTGGAACTTTATACGGGATAGAAAAATTCATTGAAATGGCAACTCTAATGACTATGAATTTTTGAGGAAAATTTTCCTTTTTGACTATTTTTATAAAAAAATTTTGCAAACAGAGGAAGCAAAATTTAACATTTTAACCGCACTGAGAAAAAGGATTTGTTCGACAACTAAAGATATTTAGTACCCGAATGGTGACAATATTTGGGAACTATTACCAAGGATTGGGAACTATCACCATGGGTTGGTAATTATCTATATATATAAAACAAAGTCGTGTTAGTTACACCATTTATAACTCAAGAACGGCTGGACCAATTTTTATGATATTTGGTTTTTGAATTTGTCTATCTTCCGAATAGCAGAATAACTATTAAAACAACCGCTAGGTGGCGCTGGAGTCGAGTTATTAGTAAAACCCGTATTTATGGTCCGATTCGCCTCATATTTGAGATATGTATTGACAATAGGAAAAACAATACCATTGCAAAAAACAGGTGGCCTTGGAGTCGAGTTATTACAAAAAATCGTGTTTATGGTCCGATTCGTCTCACATTCAAGATATTTATCGAAAATAGGAAAAACAATAATAATAATAATAATAGATTGGCGCTTACACATATGTTAGTGTTTGACCGAGCTTCTCCTCCGATTTGTGCTGCGCGCCTTGATGTTGTCACACAAAGCGGAGGGACCTACAGTTTTACGCCGACTCCGAACGGCGATTGTATTTTTATGAGAAGCTTTTTTTTTTTTTTAGGAAAAACAATACCATTGAAAAAAAATATATTCGAGATATGTATTGACAATAGGAAAAAAAATACCATTGAAAAAAAGAGCCGCCAGGTGGCGTTGGAGTAGAGTTATTACTAAAAATCGTGTTTATGGTCCGATTATCTTCAGATTCAAAATGTATTGATAACAGGAAAATTAATTCTTTCGAAAAAAATTGCCGCCAGGTAGCGCTGAAATTGAGTTACATATGTACATGTAACTAAAAATCGTATTTATGCTCGAATTTATTTCATTATCGAAATATATGAATTCACATATCGATGGTCCTCTGCAATAACGACACAACTCAAAATTCAAGAAACCAAATCCATTATTACTGTTAAGAGGCTCATGTCTCTAATCTTTGGCTAACCCATGTCTAATCCTAACTAAAGTAAGTAGTAAAGATTATCTATATCTATACTAATTATATAAAGAGAAGTCCCTTTCCTTTGTAAAAGGTAATCTCGCGAACGGCTGGTCTGATTTTCATAAAATTTTGTATATAAATAGCTTTCAGCAACCACCATGTTTTAGGCCAAAAAAATTTTTTTTCCGGTAGGTGGACCAGGGACCGATCTATTCGAATCTATTTGATTACGGTCCGATTTGCTTAAAATTTGGTACGTAAGTAACTCTTTACCTACTTAGATTAGCATATAGGATTTTTTTTCCGGGAAGTTGACCAGGGACCGATCTATTCGANTAGAATAATCTGTAATTTAGTGAAATTCAATGCTAGGTAAAAAAAAACAACACTAAAGGATTTTAAAAAATTTTGAAAATTGTTCCAGTTATACAGCATGAAAAAANTAGGATCCTCTTTTTCAGGGAAGTGGACTAGGGACCGATCTATTCGAAAAAATCGTATTTATGGTCAGATATGCTTTAAATTTAGTATGTAGGTAGCTTTT